TTAATATTTTATTGTTGGTGTTATTTGATTTTTATAGGGACTTCAGAATAGTAAAATAACATAGGACAACAATGAATAAAATTGGCTAAGTTTTAAAAGCATTGCATGCTATTGAAAAAGTTAATGTTAAGAAAGGGTAAAATATAAATAATAATTAGATAATGACCCAATTCCAAATAAATTTAGAAATGAATAAATTACTAGAATTTATTTCAGAGGATATTATCAACGTACACAAGTCAACTTTATTCTTTTTTGAAATGTCATATTTTCACGATTAGATAGAAAAATAAATAATTTATTGATTAAAAATACGAATATTTCGAGAAGAGAATTACTTAGATTGCGCCTGAAGGGACCAACTAATTAAGCAATTGAAGATGTTCAAAAAGCACATTAAATATTAAATTCCAATATCGCAGTACTGTCCAAAGACCAAGAACAAAGAAGATAAATTTAACTAAATTTAACAGAGGCACATAGTTTGTAAAATCACGAAAAGTTGCCCGGTAAAAAAAGGATTGAGGATCAGGCCAGCAATCAAAACTATAAAAACTGACCGTGACGTTCACTCAATTGTCTTTTTTGAAAGTTTCTTACTATACTGTAGCCCGCACAGTAAATGACTCGTATATCAATCCGGAATGGGCAAAGAATAACTTTTGTTCCAACAGCTACAATTTTCTAAACTATAGACAATTGTTTCAGAACATCTTAATTGTGTTTTTTTTGGGGTGTCCTTTGTTCTTAGCCATTTTCATCGTTCAAACTAAACGCGTCAGTGCGTCGATATGAACTTTCTTCGTGGATAATTTTAGTTTTTAAATAGCTTCTCAGCGCCTGAGAAAACAACAAGGCTTTGATGCCGTGAAAAAACCCTAGGTGCATCTCATAGATGGTCAACAATCGTCACATAGATATTCAACAAGCGTCAAATAGATGTTAACAATCGTCACATAGATGTTCAACAATCATCACATAGATGATCAACAATCGTCACATAGATGTTCAACAATCGTCAAATAGATGTTCAACAATCATCATATAGATGTCAACAATCATCACATAGATATCAACAATCATCACATAGATGTTCAACAATCACCATATAGATATGCAACAATACTTATATAAATGTTCAACACTCCGCCCCGTCGTGGCATTGCATCACAAGCCCTGGCAGTATTGTATCAACATTGCTTCGTATCTTTGACATTAATGTTAAGTTATTTACAGCCATTAACATCCAAAGAAGTTTTTCATAATTACTTAGCGAATAATAATTCGCTAATAATCGAACCAAGTCCTTATATCAGAGCCTTTCTGCCCATACAAAACCAAAACACAACATTAGAACTAATGAAATAAAGAAACTAATAGACGCAGAAATATAGCACGGATAATATGGTGACACAAGATACAGGAATATATATAACTACAAAAATTCACTAAAATGTCAATAAAAACTTTACTTAAACACCATGGCACTGTCAACACTGATAATAAACACGACTAAAAGAACCACGTACCTTTGTCGTGGAATGGCACACGAATTAATGACAAGGTATAACAGATTCCTACGCGAGGTCACTTCAGTGGTGGCTATAAACCTAAACGATAAATTAATAATCGAATATGTGCATGAAAATTACATCTCCTCACATAGTTAACTTGAAACTGATGTTTAGATGATGAAAAAGTGAAAACTAAATATATTAAATTCGAAAGTTATAAAAGTTAGCATCACATATACAATGTTTGATTAGAGATCATAATAAGAGATCAAAAACTGGATTTCATTCGACGAGAAAAAGAAGTTTAGAAGTTTAGACGAGAAAGTTTAGAAGTTTAGAAATAATCACAAATTATTCATTCAACACAGTTTGGCGGAGCATAACATGGATGAATTTCCGTACCGGAGCGGCGCTCCGGTACTGTCGGTGACAAATTCCGTACCGGTCGGTGACAAATTAAAACTTATTATGAAGAATGCAAAAATGGAAAACCTAATAGCCATAATTAAGATATTGTAAATTTTTTTCAAAATAAATAAATAATATTCCATTGTAAATTGTAGTCATTTTAAATAAATATGTTTTAAATTGTGGTTTATATGTAGTAATATTAAATGGTAGCTGCGTTATATGTGGTAGCTGCGTTAATTTAGGCGTGGGCTTGGTAGTAAACCAAGCGCCTACGGTGAAAGAACTTGTACAACGAAATATATTCACGTCAGGATAATGATCAGATAGTTGGGACCCGTGTCCTTGCCCTCGGGTTCAGAAGGGTTCAGAAGGGTTCATAAAGGTTTAGAAGTGTCTAGAAGGGTTCAGAAGGATTTAGAAGAATTTAGAAGGGTTAAGACGGGTTCACAAGGGTTTAGATGAGTTCAGAATGGTTCAGAAGGGTTCAGAAGGGTTCAGAAGGGTTTAGAAGGGTTCAGAAGAAATCAGAAGGGTTCAGAAGGGTTCAAAAGGGTTCAGAAGGATTCAGAAGGGTTCAGAAGAGTTTAGACGAGTTCAGAAGGGTTCAGAAGGGTTCAAAAGTGTTCAGAAGGGTTCAGAAGGGTTTAAAAAGGTTCAGAAGGGTTTAAAAGAATTCAGAAGGGTTCAGCAGAGTTTAGAAGAGATCAGAAGGGTTCAGTAAGGTTCAGGAGGGTTCAGAAGGGTTCAGAAGGGTTTAGAAGGGTTCAGAAGGATTCAGAACAGAAGGGTTCAGAAGGGTTCAGAAGAGTTCAGAATGGTTTAGAAGGGTTCAGAAGGGTTCAGAAGGGTTCAGACGGGTTCAGAAGGGTTCAGAAGGGTTTAGAAAGGTTCAGAAGGGTTCAGAAAAGTTCAGAAGTGTTTAGAAGGGTCAGGTGGTAAGCGCGGCCAGTTGGTAAGAGGGGCCAGGTGGTAAGAGGGGCCAGGTGGTAAGAGGGGGCAGGTGGTAAGAGGGGGCAGGTGGTAAGAGGGGTCAGGTGGTAAGAGAACCGATAAAAACAATACGATAAAACATATGAATTGCGTGCGGTCTTAAATGCTCTTGGTCCTCAGTCACTTCGTTTCTTTTCAAGATAATTGCTCCAAATTGGGGAGTTCACTCGTACAAGTTAATGGTATTGACCACAAGTATTGAAGGTTGCAGAAGATACTTCAGATATAAAAAATAATTTTTGCCCTGAATCTCGGTAAAAGCTCGAGACGGTGACTAGGTCTTTAGTTCAATTCAAGCTCTACACGTGAATAACAAAAAGTTAGTAATTCTCATGTCGATTAAACTTCGCCAGTATTTGCACGAATTCAAAAGAAACATTTTTCGCACAAGATCGAGTTGCAGGTTTGTAGTTGATATGAGCTCCATTTCTTGATGTGTTTCGAAACTGTGAACAGTGTTTCTTTGAAGCGATACAATTCATTGTGCTTGGGCTGACTGGTAAAAATATATAACAAAGCAATAACTTCTATAGTTTATATTTTAAAACAAAACGAAATTTATTTCTTTAATACTTTCTATAAGTACAATTTTTATTTGACAGTGCAAAAAAATATTATATTGAACTCATCTTAAAATAATATGTTCCCTCTTTACAGAGTAGTCCGCATAAAAGCATGATTACTTGCACGCTTTAAACATTAATTTTGTTACGCATTCAACCAGTTACATACATACATACACAATCGGACACATAATCGTGAATTGGTCTATACCAATTAACTGATGATTTCACGATAATTATAGACCCAATTATTGATTTTATTTATTATTTTGTTACATACACAGTCTTACATTTATTAGATCAGTAATTAGATTTTTTCAAATGTGATCTGTCTTATTCAGCTAGAAATATATACAGAATTTTTATTATTTTCCTGAAGATATACAAAGATATTTTATTCCGTTATGAATATGCAGATTCAGCAGAATATGTAATTTTTTTCTTTGAAGAATGGGTCATTTATAAATTTCATGGGACTCATATACGGAACAAATAATATATCGTTAGGTGTATAATACGTGCCGAGGAGATATAATATACAATATACGACTAGGGGTGAAACACAAAAAAAACAGACTAGATTTTATCTAACGATTGCATTAGTTATCATAGATACTTGCTAGACGATGGTGACAAGCCATAGTTTTTAGCTTCAGTCCATTTTTAATTTTATCACTTACTCAATATTTTAAACAATTTGTTATGTATGATAATGACGATATGAGTGGCATCCGCATTACACAGCTTTTTGTAGAAATTCACCATCTACTCCAGGTAACCTCCCATTGAATGAATGAATTTTACTTCCTACTCTCAAAAATATGTACGATAACCAATAGAAAAACGCTCATATGGACATGACTCTTGCATAACCTAGACACATGGACATGCAATTGACATAAATAGAATACCATTAATTATAGCGCTGGAGGTAAAACTGTTATATGCTCATATTTGATAGGGTTTTTAAGTGGAATATGTCGAATAATCAACGCACTTGACAGCATTAATTAAATGCCATCAGCTCCAGGTATTGCAGCCACTTAGGCTGGAACAGTACGTTAATGGTCCGAAGTGACAGATCTGTTGGACCCTACATGTCTCCCCGATAGGTATAAATATCAGAGGATCAAAATGTTCATTGTTATAAGATGAGCAACTCTGATCAAAACCCTTGTCTACGTGGTAGGCGTATGCACTTCATCAAATTCATGATCAAGAATGTGATAAAGTGCTTTATCACATTCGTGAGATTTATCAATCAATAATATTTTGATGATACTAACCTGTCAATACGGTGACGAAATGTAACTCGAATGCAATTCCTGTAAATGTGACCGAAAATTGATATTCACAAATAAATAAAATAATAATTTCAATTGATGCAATCCATTCGGGTAGAAATACGAAAATAAACAGCCCAGATTTTACCTAATCGTCTCACTTTTTTAGATATTTGCTGGACAATAAGATCATAATGATCCTAAACCTAAAAATTGTGTTTTGCTACCTTAATATTGTTATGAATTACATTTTAAAAGTAAGTGGTGTTCCCGGTACAACTTATCAGGCGGTGAGTGATGCATTTACAATTTTCATCTTGCGTAAGATCTATAATTTAAGTCCTAATAGACGTATTATTCGGATAAATAAAATTATTTAGGAAACTTCCCATCGCTCGGTATGGACACGATACTCATGAATATGATTTTTTACTAGCAAAATTTTTCATTATAGGTCATAATTATTATAACTATTTCCCTTCAAACTGGAATCTACCTAAAATAAAATGGTAAACGTGTGATAGTTCTATACGTGTGAGCCCGTACGAAAATGTTGTACTGTGTTTTTGGAAAACAACCAAGTTCAGAGTATTTGATAAACTTCACACATCTATATATGCACGCAGCTGTGGAATTTTATAAGTTTATGCAAAAGAATTGTTTCATTTTATAATTTATAAGAACTCCTCCTAATCATGAGTGAGTTGATAAGTGTTCAATTCCACCTTCGAACCAACTCTACTCCTCTGAGTTTGTCAACTTTGTTATCAACTTAGTTTATCTGTACAAATCTACCTACCTCTACTATCATCCCATTTGGTACAAATGTATTCATAAAATATCAATTAATTTTAACTCTGAGCTCACAAATTTCCATATTCTCAAGCCGGTAAGAAGGACACTTCCCACAAATTTACCAATTTCAAATAATGTTTGCATTTTCAATTTCTATAATAATTTTCAGCTCTCATCTTACAGAGATGCATATATGTACATGTAAATGTATTTTATGCAAGTTTGATTGAAGACCAGAGCATGCTTTTTATTAATAATCTTATATTAGTTTTTTCATTGAGTCGAAGAGAATTTCTTGCTGGCGCCGGGAGCTAAAAAAGCAGGTTACCAAATGACATTTTAATGGAATGCGATGTAAATGTATTTGTATATTCATATATGTTTTGATTTCTCTCTCACGTATTTCCAACATTGTACGGCCATCATTGTTAGCCTGCATCAAAAACTACATTTAATAAATAAATTCTTTCAGTTTGCCCTGACGAACGTGCCATACTTCGAAGGCCTGTGTGTCCCGACGTACGTGGAAGTGAACCTGGCGCGCGGCATTTCGCCTCGCATCTTGTGCCTCTTGAAGTGCCGGCAACTTCCTACGTGCACCTTCTTCACCGTCGCAGGTTACTATAATATTTTGCCTTTTTAAATTAAAAAAATAATTGTATTATCTGTGAATGCTGAAATTCTAGTGATATAGTAATGTCTTGATTAAATGACTAGTACGCTATAAATGAAATATGAAATTGACATATTAAAAGTTTCACTGTAAATAATAGATTGATATTATATATATATATATATAATATATCACTGTAAAATGAAAAAAAGTATAGTAATTATCTGCGTTTATAAGTCAAACCGGAGAATTGGAGTGGAAGTAGTAGAGAACCGCAATATTGCATCAGAGTTGTCAAAAATCAAATTTACTGAGCAAATCCACGGTCTCCACAATATACAATTTCATTAATTTTTTCATATTTTTATTCGAATAGCTCAAACTTTTTTAAATTATAAAATGCGGAATCCCAGAAGTGAAGTTCTCAAATAATTAACTATTTTTTAAACGTACTGAGTTAATGAGTATGTCATCCATGATAACAATAGTACATATTTTTTAAAGTGTCAATTAATGCTGCGTCAATGTGTACGTCATCTATGATCACAATGGTACATATTTTTTACTGCGTCAATTAATGCTGCGTCAATGTGTGCGTCATTCATGTTCACATTAGTACATATTATTTTCAACGAGCATAGGCTCAGTTTGCAAGTTATGGACGTTTACGCTGGACGAGAGCTACCATCTTGGGAACTTCACGACTCCTACGGTGACCTCCTACTGGCCCAAGCTCGGGCCCACGGCCCCACGCCGCGACGTAGCCCTCATGAAGCCTGCTACGTCGGGAAGCATCTACTGGATCTTCCAATCTGGAGCCATGCTGGTCCCGTTTCATTATATGCATTTATATATAAGGATATATACAAGTTTCGGCCAATAACCGGACATGATTGGTAACATTACCGGACATGGGTTAGAAACCTGGACAAAATTACGTCCGGTTATATACAATGTAACTAGTTTGTAGTTGAAAATCAGACGTAAAAATAATTGAACTACACTACCGGACATCAAAAAATGCCAACCTCGTTAGAGTTAGGGTTAGAGTTAAAGTTAGGTGTGTATAAAACCTTTCTTTACGTTGCTAGAGACCTTTCTACAGGGGTTAGGTCCATCCAGGTCAAGTTTTTTACCTCTTTTGCGATTTAGTAAAAATATTTAAAGTCCGGATAAGTGGAAGTACAGTATATCTAATGTATATAGTGGATAGTATGTAAGATCTTCGGTGTGATTCGGTTGAATAAATATGAATGATCGATGTTTTCACAAAACCTACGCAATGGCATATTCTCAAAACCACTGCATGCATTTCCAGACGTACGGCTCGATGTGTTTCCCGAATCCGAACAACTGCACAGCGACGAACTTTTCCGTTAACTGGGCTCGAGTGGACTTGCTGCAGCCGGAGCCTGTCAAGACCATCGTGCTCACCGCCCCAGTCAACGCCGCACTTCCATACTTCGCAAACATCACCATCAGGGTGAGTCAAGTCCATCGTGTTCACCGCTCCAGTCAACGCCGCACTTCCTTACTTCGCAAACATCACCATCAGGGT